TCATAAAGTTCAGAGTTTACGCAGAGATTTCTCAAGAATACTTAAAGATTGTGAATATTTGCATAGAGTTGTTAAGAATCCCTCCCTTACCATAAGCATACCTAATATTTTCCCCCCTAACTGCTCTGCCTCCTTCCCTAATAAAGTATCGGTCTTCATTTACTTGGCCACTTCCTGCTGGAAGACTTTTTGTGTTAATACAAGACCAGTTTCCTTTATCCATTCATAGTATAGGGTCCTTTTCCTTCCACATATCTAGACAGCATGTTTCTTAGTGTCTTACTTGTTGTGAAGGGTACATTCTGCTTCAAAGATGTCTGGAGCTTGAAGTAGGCTGGCCCACGGGTGGTTAACTATCTATTGCCCAATTACATCTCTCTAGTTCTCTAAGACGAAAACCTAGGAGTTTTCCTTAACCTCACTCTCCCAGTCACCCTCCAAATCCAGTATGGATTTTGTGACCTAAGTCTACCAATGAAATATTTCTGTATTAATTCACATTTTAGTATAAATTGCTAAGAGGACTTACTGTGGTTTATAATTATATATTTATCTTTTTGATTGTTTGGTCATTGTCTATCTTCCTCAGACTATAACCTCTATAAAGGCAAGGAGATCTGTTTTTATCCACCACTGTACCCACAAGGCCTAATCTAGCACATAGTAGGCACTAAATAAACACTTATTGAATAAATAAATGGCACACTTTCTGCATGGCTTCATTAACTGACGTTTTAGTATATTATGTATCAGTCTTTCTTTTTCCCTGTAAATATAATCTTTTCTCGTCTTTTAAATTAAATTAAATTTTAAATCTTTTAAATTAATCTTTTATAGTCTTTTGAATACAAGGTTATGTTCAGCATCTTGTAACATCTCCCTCTTCTTATCAAGTCTTTGGGGACTGCCTTCCCAGGAGGCCTACTTCAACACCTCCATCTTTTTAAATGGCTTATCTTTTTAAACAATAACGTTGTAGATGTATCATGTTCCCATGTCTAAGGTCTAGATGGGCCTGCTGTGTAAAAGGCCTTGACCCCTTTATTTGGGAAAAATGTAAAAGTATATGTTTGGGGGGTGGGGTGCAGGGTCCCAGGTACACTAATACAGCTGATGGCAGAATGCACATTGGGTAAGCCTGCAGGCTATTGCTTTTACAAAAGGCCAGGGAGCTTGGGACCCAAAACTGGCTCACCCATGCCTTCAGGGCTGCCAATGTTGCCCCCATGAATTTTGAAACTATTTGGTCTCTAATAAAATTTTGAAGAAAAAAAAAAAGATAGTCACCTTTCCTAAGTAAAATGCACTCTGCACTTAAAATCAATAGACATATCTATTATTAACTATGGACATTATCCTAGATTCATATCCAGTTCTACAGAATCTGAATTTAAAATAAAAATTTACTATCACACACACATCTTTCTGGGATTCATATATGATTTTATGTTACAGTCATACATTATACCAAATAAATATTCCAACATGCAAGAAAGACATTCTTAAGAAGTTACTGAATTTTACATAATAAAGCCCATCCTCAAAACATACAAGAATTTTTGTCTGGAGGGGGGCACCCAGCTCACTTAAATAAATGCTACTCTTCTCTCAGTTTCACACTCAACGAGAGTCTGGTGTGAAGAAGCACAGGACAAACAAGGTTCTGAAACCGAGGAAATTCATTTTTATTCCGTGAAACCACTTTCCTCTCCTGTTTTCAGAAGGAAAGCTCAGATAACTGTGAATTCCGAGACGTGGTTTATTTAGTAAGAGAAGCTTGCTGATCTGCTGAATACTGGCAAAGTCAGTGGCCCTCCTTGGGAGCTAAACCCTGCAGCGTTTCACTGGGTTTTGTTCTAAATTCTGCTCTTGCTTTTACAATGGGTTTTAACAGATTCCTAGATATAGGAGAAGGAGCTGGAGGGGTGTGGGGTGACCTGAGGATTAACTGAACGTGCCCCTCTGCAATCTTTGTAGCCTATTCAAGCAATGGGACTTTTTAAATTACATTTGGACTATTTCATAAGCCAAATAGAAAAAATAGCTTAGTTGAAATGCCTGGCCCGAATGCCTGCAAAGTCTGAGTCTAATTAAAGACTGCTGAGGCAAATGATTTTTTAAAAAGATTTTCTGCCCACTACAGAAACAACAATTGAGTCTATTTATGTTTCCAGGCCTGCTAATGTGAATGGGGCACAAAATGCCATCTTTTATAGATATGGTCCTGGAAAAGAGGGTGGGGGAAGGACTAACGGGCTTTTACAAGAAACGGAGCCACAGAACTGCCCACTTGTGGTGCAGTGCAGGTCCGAACACTCTGCAGTCCTCTGCCCTGCTTTGCAATGAACGCATATGCACAGCCCGGCATATAAATGCACTGGACACCACGGGGAATACGACAAAGGGGGCGGTCTCTGTGACTGCACAATTCAGCATCTGACCAGGAGGAAAGGCACGTGCCAAACAAGTGATGCCAACAATTAGTGCCACTGGAGTTCAAGGCAGGGAGAGTTCAAGGTGTAGGAGAGACCAAGGCAGGCTCCTCAGAGAAGAGAGGACAGGAGCGTAGCCTTGAAGTTGAGACAGAACTCGAGAAGGCATTCAGATGGGGCAAAGGAGGAGAGAGTGGTTTCTTCCGATCACAAATAAGGATGGGTTCTTCCAACCACAAGTAAGGCTGATTAAGAGAAGGGCTGTTGCTGAAACGGGCCTTCCCCTCTGCTAGCCCTGGAAAGAGAGTTGCTTCAGTAAATTCAGGTACTTTCCAGGACTATAGGAATGTGATTCAGATTTTGATTTGAGGAAAACCCTTAGCAGCTCCTCGTGGGGTCTTGGAAGAGTAGATGGGAGGGAAGCAAGGAAGATGGGCTTTGCCTTTGTCAAAGCTTCACCAGGGCTGGATCAGGGGCTCCGTTTCTTTCACCTTCCCATGATTCACCTTCCCATGAGTGGAAGGGAGAAATCAGCACAGGACATGGTTTTCATAAATAAAATAAATATATATACACCATGGAATAGATTCATTCCTCAGTTTCAGTAATTTTAAAGCTTCCTTGATAACAGGATGTTTGTGCCAAAACTTGCAAGAAATCCTTGCAAATATGGTCATGTTTGCCCAATACTTGTTTATTGTTGATCCAACATGTAGAAAGCTCTAGGCGCTGACTCACCCTCGCATTAATAGGAAGCCCTACGCAGGCTTAAATATTTATTGTAGGGAAATGCTCCTAGATGGAGATGGCTTGGTGCCAGTGACTGGGTTCTCCTTCTCAGAGACAGTGTGCCTGGTTCCAGGTACCGCCCTTGATTACACAAGAAGTGGGGACAGCTGGGAGGAGTTGGCATCATGGTAACCAGGCCAAGCGTTGGGATTCAAAGCTGCAGACCCATTTCAGGGTTATCCAAACCCAGCTTTCATGTAGGTTCCCATTTCACTGCCTGCAGCACTTTTGAAAAGGCAAACAAAGACCCAGGAGCCTCGCTGGACCTTTACTTCATATTTTCACTTGAGGGCTGGCGCTACATTCACCAGTTGTGGTCAATGGAAATTCCCCGAGGAAGCCACAATAAGGAAAGGCAAAGGCATAGTTTCTTCCTTTACAGTTTTACTGGCTTAAAGGGCTCCAATCTTCCAACCATCCAAATTTTGTCTTATTTTATCAACCAAGTTCTGCAAAAGCAAGAAGGAATTCTGTCCTCCGAGGTAGAGTCCTGAGCGAGTGTGGAAGGGAAGACGTTCCTTTCAGCCTGTGTCAAGTCGCCAGCTTCTCAAGATGATGGAATTTCATCCATTGAGTAGAAACAGATTTTTCAGAGGCACTCTCCACCTAATAGTAAGCGGCAAAGAGCTCTCCTGCCCACCACCCATGGTACACTCAGATCAGAGAACCCACCTGGGTTCTGGTCTTGCCTTTGCTATAACTGTGTGAACTGTGTCAAGTCATTTCACGTTTTTGGTCTTCAGGGTCCCCTTCTCTGAAATGGAGCTGCTTCCTGGCCTACCCACCTCATTCACTAGAGCACTACGGTCACCTTGTCATGGACCTTAGAGACAGAGCTGAGTCTATTCCGGATCACCGCCCACTGCTGTGTAGTCTTGGACAAGTTAGCTCATCTCTCTGTCCTTAGAGTATGTGCTTCTCTAGAAGGAGTAATAATATCTACATTAAATGGTGGTGGTGAGAATTTGATGAGATGACTATGTAAAGTGATTTTCACAGGGTCTAGCGCCTAAGAATTCACTAAATGATGACTTTTCTTATTTTTACCTTCCTAAGGAAATAGAGGTGGGAGAAAGCCTGGGCTCTGGAGTCATGGAACTGGGTTCCAACCCTGATCTCCCCATTAGAGCTGTGTGCTCTCGTGCAGGGTATCTGAGCCTCAGTTTCTTCATCTGTAAAATGGGAATATTTCCCTCCTAGGGCTGTTGTGATTTTTAACTAGGATAATATTAAATGGGAAAAAGGAACAATGTTTGGCCCCCAAATAAGTTATCTACAGGCATCGATTTCTTTCTGCCTTTTTCCTATGTCCCACTGATGGGAGATTAAAATGGAAAACAAGTGAAGGCACTTTGAAAAATAACGTTATGCAAATCTGAAACATAAGTACTCCCTCCTTAAAGTAGAGAGGATTGAGGAACAGTAAAAAGACCAAAACACAGGAATCAGATTGAGGAAGCAGAGAATCCGGGGACTTGATGTATCCATGCCTTGAATAATCAGCTTCTGATAATCCAGTGGTGATTTTCCACTTCCTCAGACATTCACAGCCCAGTATTGTGGAAACAGCAGGCTCTCTGGACCCAGACTTCCCTCCTCCACCATTATGAGTGGGCAGACTTGGGGCAGTTTATCTAACTGCCCGCACCTCAGTTTCCTCACCTGTAAAATGGGGATAATAAGGCCCTCTTCAGAGAGTGGTTGTGGAAATGCTTAACAGAGGAGCTGGTAGAAAGACGATGCTCAGTAAATCATAGTAATGTTTCTTCTTCTTCACAGGCCTCATGAATACTTGTCCTGAGTGTTTATTTATTCATTATCCAAAGGGAAGCTGGGTAAAGCGCCATGACCTCTAGATTCCCTGAGAGTCTTGACTGCAAGCATGATTGTTCCATTGTCAGGCTTTGTATATGGTACGTTTGCCCACTGCCCTTACAGTAAAATAGCATAGTTTTCAAGGCTCCTCATGATTTAGCCGTTGCTTACTGCTTCCTTCATCTTCTGTCATTGTCCACCCAAGCCCTACTCTTCTTTCATTCTGTTACATACCATCTTAGGGTTCTGGTCTGACAAGAATGTTGTATCCATGGTCTTTCGATGAACAACTCTATTTCACCTTCAGCTTATCTCTGCACAGGGGCCTGAGTTCTTTTCCAACTTTACTCTTAATCTCAGTCATATGTTACTTCTTATATACCATGTGTCACATAATTATACATATTTATTTATTGACTTGTTTTTATGTGTCCCTCCCACCAGACCATAAGCTCCACCAGGATAGGGTGTCTACCTGCTTACTTATAACCAAATGGTCAGAGTCTACCATAAAACGTGTTCAATGAGTCTTAGAGGAATGAATAAATATTAGTCCCTGCATCTTGATTGGGGATTTAAAAATAAGGTCACTAGTAAGAGGTACAACTACCATGTATAAAATAAATAAGCTACAAGGATATATTGTACAGCACAGGAAATATAGCAAATAATGTATAACCTGAAATGGAGTATAATCTATAAAAATATTGAATCATTATGCTGTACAGCTGAAACTTCTATTGCAGATCAACTACACCTCAATAATAAAGGAAGGTCACCATGGGTCTAAAACTTCATGAACTATTTGAGCTCTTGAAAGCTGCTCTGCACCCTATTTTGGATAATTAAGCCCAGTCCTACTTTATTATGAGAAAATAACCAGCCACAAAACAACGTCCATGGGAGAAAGCTGGAGAGATGCTCTAGATGGCGGGGGTGGCGGGGAGGGGGGAGGAAGCAAGAGCTTTCCTTTCAGTATCCAGAAGGAGAAATGAACCTACTTCTTAAAATTAGTTAACCAACTTTCAGGCCATAATTATTTCTGTCTGAGTTGAGAAAGACGAGTTGTGCTGTGCTTGTCCCTGTTTTCCTGTCCAGGCAAATGAATTAACAACTGCGATAAACATGGGTTTCGAGTATTGGAAGGATGGAAACCGCTAGCATAAATCCCAGATAAAAGCTCACAAGAATGCTATCATTCGGCTAAAAGTTTGGAGTCTCAAATTATTTTTTCCCCCTTTTGGAAGACTGTTTCACTAAAATTTCTTAAACGTCTTTGGGGTGATTTCCATTGGGGGTAGGGAGAGTTTTACAAACATCTGGGTTCATGTTGAGCTTGGGTGAGTTGCTAAGGTTGAAATATTCAAGGACAACAACAATTTATGCAGATTAAAAAATACTCAAATTATTTGGGTAGGAACCAACTGTTAAATAATGTGGCACATGGCTCATAAGAACCTTTGAACAGGTAAGAGCTGTCCCTGTTGGAACCCAGCCATCTGAAGAAAGGACTTCTGCAGTAGCCTCATGCCTGGGTTCCTGCCTCTGGGCCTCCCCAGTCTCCTTTCTCTATATAGGGACACTGCCATCAGATTCTCTTCTTAAATATAACTTGTTAGACGTTCAAAATGTTTCAGTGATTACACTAATTTGGAGTCAAAGTTCCTTCAAGGCTCCCATCAATCTGCTTCTAACCCAATGTCTCAGCTTATTTCCCATTCCTCCTGACTCCTTTATCCAAACTCTCCCACTAGACAGACAGGTATTATTATTGTCTTAAAAATATGCTTGCTCTTTTCCAGTCTTTGGGCTGAGGTCATGTCATCTCTTCTCTGGTGCTACCCATCACCCATCCTCTACCCCAGTTTCTCATGAAGGCTCCAGTCCAGAACAGTCCGCCTCTGAGCTGCCACAGGATTCATGGTTAGGCCCCAATCCTGCTGTTAACTGTCTATCTAAATCACTATTTGGGTGTTGTTTCACCTGGTTATTACATTTCTTGTCACTTATACTGTCAAGTACGCCACACTGACCCCAGAACTTATTTACAGTAGGGGTCCCTCACCTGAGGATCCATAATTGGCACTGATAACTTCTCCATCCTTTCAATAATTTGCACTTTCTCGTTAAGATGGTTTCAGTGTGTTTCTGTTCCTTGCAAACACATCTTAAAGAAGATGATTGTCACGTGGACATATTTAGGATAGGATCTCCCAACTTGGGGTGGAATTATTTTTCACAGTTCTGAAAACGTAAGGTCACATCTATCAATATTGTGAAAGTACAACACCTGGGGCACTGATTAAAACGTGCAGATTTAAAAGATGCAGTTTCATAGGCTCCATCACATACTGACTGTGAGATGGAAGCTCCTGGGGATAGGGCCTGGGAACGGGTATTGCAAACAAGATTCCCCAGGTGATTTTTATGCATATGCAAGAAAATTTAGAGGGTGAGGAGGGAAGCTGACACCAAGGTTTCTCATATGATGGTGAAGGGTCATGGAAGAGGAAATAATTCATATGTCTTGAGGACTGATTATGTGCCCGGAAAAATATTAGGTATTTTCACTAGTGTTATCTCTTGTAATCCTCAGACAAGTCTATGACGTGTCTTATCATTAATCCCTCATACAAATACGGAACTAAGCGAAATACCTCATCTAAGGATCTATAAATGGTAAGCTGTAGGGTCAGCCTTTCAACTCTGGGCTGACCAGCTCCAAAGTTCCTACTTCTTACTCTGCTTTCCACTCTGCTGGGGTTCTAAACAAACCTTGGAGGGAGGGGGAGGGAGCATGAGGCACATCCAGGTTGGAGGTTTCCTAGGTCAGCCTGCGGGAGCTGGGCAGATCCCAAGCTCCCAATGGGTAAACCTGGCTTAAGACCCCACTGACATCTTAAGAGGACAGTGATCCTCTGAGCTCTGAATCTGCATCCTGGACCCCAAGTCTGAAGCCTCGTGAGCTCCAACTGGAGAGACCACTGTCTGTCTGCCTGGTCCCCAAACCTAAAGATGGAGGCTTCAGCAACCCTGGACTTCATTATAGGAGCAGCACACACACAGGCCTTCTGGCTGAGACTTCCAAGACTCGCATCCTCCAATATTCCAGCTGGACCAAGGGCCTAGCCTGGGGATGGATGGTAGAAAAGAGAGGCCCAGGAAGCCAGGTCCTGTTCACTGATAGGAAAGGGATGATAAAAAACCAGGATGGGATGAAAAAGAGGGCTGGTGACGGTGCAAACTCTGGGGAACGTTGAAACCCTCATATTTTACAATGAGGGTGGAATATCACTCAGCCATGAAAAAGAATGAAAAAATGCCATCTGCAGCAACATGGATGGACCTAGAGATGATCATACTAAGCGAAGTAAGCCAGACAAAGACAAATATCATATGATATCACTTATATGTGGAATCTAAAAAAATGATATAAATGAGCTTATTTACAGAACAGAAATAGACCCACAGACATAGAAAACAAACTTCTGGTTACCAAAGGGGAAAGCAGGGGAAGGTATAAATTAGGAGTTTGGGATTAGCAGATACACACTACTATACATAAAATAGATAACCAACAAGGACCTACTGCATAGCACAGGGAACTATACTCAATACCTTATAATAATCTACAAGGGAAAAGAATCTGAGAATCTGAAAAAGAATATATGTGTGTGTGTGTGTGTGTGTGTGTGTGTGTGCATGTATGTGTGTAACTGAATCACTTTGCTGTACACCTGAAACTAACACAACATTGTAAATCAACTATTAAAAAAAAAAACACCAAAAAACCAAAGGGCCACAAAAAAAAGAAAAAGAAAAAAAAAAAGAATCTATGTTGTGACTCCAGGTAAGTTCCATTCATGAAATGAATAAAAGTTTAACATAAAAAAAAAGAAACCTTCCTATTTGGGGATTATAGATCTAATGCAGTGGTTCCATTAAAATCACCTGGGAAGATCTTAAAAATCCTGTTCAGATAATCATCAATGGGCAGCCAAGATAGAAAACCACTGGTCGAAAGTGCCTCTGACGGCCAAGCGATCTAGGCTGAGCCTGCAATGTTCAGAAAGCAGCTTGCGTTCAGTCACGGTTGGGAAAGCTGAGGTCGGTCAAGTGCACGGCATCAGCTGCAGTCCTTCCAGTATGAGAACTGCCTGAAGTTTGGCTCGCTGCCAGAGCAAGTTTCCTTTCCATTTTTAATTTTCCATTGTAGGGTAAAGAATTGGCACAGGAGAATGAGAAAAGAAACATGTGTGAACGGCAGGATGGAGACGTGAAACACGACAGATATAAAGATATACAAAGAAATGTAGAAGAACACCAGCCTTAGTGAGATGGAACTGGGGTATCTACAGCAGGTCAGGGGGCAGAAAGTGCCCGGGTATCCATTCTCAGAGGAAGTGCTCTACTCACTGAGTGGATGATGCCTTGCAGGGCCTGGAAGCCATCATTTACCGGAAACACGTGGTCCTTACTGTCTGCGATCCGGGCCAGCTGAGGACACAGCAAACGCACAAGGAGATGTGTCAGGCTTGCACATGGAGAACTGAGGAAAGCCACTGGGTCCAGGGGCCTCCATCTCCTTTTAAAACCCACAGGAACTTGAGGGCTTGCCTGGGCTCAGGGACCTCACTGAGAAGCCCTCAGTCATAATGAGATTTCCAGGGGACTTACTCTGGAGCGGGTCCGGAGGGTCGGTTCCAGCTTTTACATTTGTTTTAATACTTGTCTCCTTGGGACCAGCGGTAAGATTGCCCAGCTAGATGAACATTTGGCCTGGGTTGATGTATTTATGGATTTGGGGGCAGGCCATTGGCTTCTTTTTCTCCCATTCAACCACATTTCTGTTGGCAACTGTATTCGAATCAAACAGACTCAAGTTTCCTTTCAAAGCAACTTTAAAAATAAATTCAAGCTTTGGTGTTGGGCGAGCCCAATGAATGGGGACCCTTATCTTTCACCTAAACTTCTCATTGAGGAAAGGACCCTTGCGATTGGTTTGGTTGCTTTGTGGAGCCGAGGACTGGAGAAAGGAGAAACTGATCTGCAGAGATTTTCTACTTCCAGACTCTGTCTAGTGCTGTGGTTGCCACAGTCAGTCAGTGCCAGGATTTTTACTGATTGTAAAAGTAATACACAATCATTGGGAAATTTCAAAAAACCAGGAGTGTTCAAATAAAAAGAAAAAAGTTATGAATAATTCATCTGTCCATCCATCCATCCATCATCTTTCTATTACTGTTAATTTGATATGGTTTTTCAGACTTTTCCTATACAAATACACACATTTTATTTTAAAAAGTACACTCATACTATTCCCATACTGTTTTGTAACCCTGTTTTATTCATTTAACAACATATCCTGAACTTTGTCAATGTTATTAGAACAAAAAGAAACTATTAAGTACATGGAAGTACATCTATTTAGGTTGCTAACACATTTTTACAATTTGCTTATTGTGAACACTTGGACATACTTTTTTTGCCCACTGGCCAATTATTTCCATTTTGGGGCATATTGAAATGCATTGAACCTTTAATGAGAAAAAAGGGATGTTTGCCATTTAAATAAGAAAATCAGATTTATCAAATTAAATTAAAAAAACAAACCAACAAGTTTTCCAAGTTAACTTCGATCTATTTTGACCTCCTGGCAATTTAACATGTACTAAGAAAGTCAACCAAAAAAGATGCTGCCTGGATGGTCTGCATTGAAGACCCTCAAGCACATTAGCAAATAAGTTCACATCCCTCACACATCCAATAATTCCCTCCCTGCTTAGCATTTCTGGAAAAATCATCCATCTAATGGGTATTTATGCTGCTGATGCACCTCCTGCACCGACTGCATATTTTCTATCATTCACAAGCTGAGTATGCTCCCATACCTGAGGAAATCCATGCTCATACCTGTGTTTCATTGAAATCCTTCACACCCACACAGTAAACGATCGCACCAAGATCTCGGGATCTGTTAGCCTGGGCCAATGAAAGAAAAGACATTTAGAGAGAGAAGCAGTGGCAAATGTACTCCTTTTGGATCACCCAGCCTAACTGCAGTGATCAGGTATTTACTGAGCACCTACTATATGCCAGGTACCACAAGGGAGAGGGCAATCCCTGTCCCCAAAGAGCCAATTCTCCAGTGAACATCACATTCTAATGCAATATGGTGGATGTGAGGGGAGTGATTAGTCTAATGGGAAGTGTTGAGGAAGATCCATAGAAGTAGAGACTTGATGAGAAGCTTTGAATGACGAGGGGAGGAAAAGGATACTGTAGGCTAAGATACATCATATTAAATATTCTGGGGAAATGATTATCTTTTCTATTCCTCTGATGGATTTTTATTGACATACGTTCTTCCTTTGTAGTGGCAGCGTGCTCTATCGGAAAGGATGTGACCTTTGGAATCCAACATACCTGGGTTTGACACTTGGCTTTTCTCTGTAAAGTACTTTGGACATTAAATGAGAAAATAAATGCAGAGCTCCTCACATGAGGCGTAGAACAATGCAGATACTCATCAATGTCAGCACCTTCACGAATATGGCCTTTTTTATTCCCAAAGAAGACACTGGGTCAATGGTATGGGATTTAAGGTCCATATTTGAGTGGGTGAACCCACGACTTTATCTACAAGTAAGTATTGAGGGCAACCTAATGAATAATATCCAGATTTTGGCTTGATTTTAATATCTGATTTATTACAGGCTCTTCCAGGTTCTTCGTTTCAGAAGAGAAAACAAAAATTGGAAATCCTTGGTATATACAGTAGAACCTTAATAAATCATTGACAGTAAACATACAGTAGGTGCTCAATATATGCATATTGATTTGAATCGCATCCCATTTTCCCCTCTCTTAGTGTGACTAACACTGAATTGTAGAAGGGGCAGAAACGTACATCGTTTTTCCTTCATGTTAGAAATATTTCTTGCTGCTTTCAGGATAAAATAAACTTTTAGGTACAGTCTAGCCCCAGCCTTCTCTGCAACGACTTCTATGGCTTTTCTCCTCTAGTTGGGCTGTATACAGAATCATCAAAAATGGAAAGGCTCATTTTCTTTATATATCTTGAGCTTTATCTTTCTTTTTCAGACACCTTCGTCCTATTGGCATTGGCACTGCAAATATTTTTCCAAGTTTGTGTGTGCTATACCTAGAATTCTTTTCTACTAACCTCTACTTTAAACCTCTGACACCTATCATTTATTTTATATTCAGTTATTTCCTTATTAGGGTTTTTACTTTAGTTGATGGTTGTTTAGCATCCAAATAAGCCTTTTTGCATTCCCTACAGTTTCAACTGTAGAGCATAGAAATATATTATTTCCTAGATGCTCTGAGAGCCTCTGTCATATTTACTTGTGGGTTTCCCCCTTGTAAATTTTGTACAAGTTAGGGTAGGGGGTCAGTAATGCATTTATCCACTTAATTTCCTCATGCCCTTTGCCAACAGAGACTTCAAAAAGCTGAACAGTATTACACAGTAAAGCCCATAAAGGCAGCAACTGTGTCTTACTCACCAGTGTGTTTCTAGTGTCTAGCAAAGCGCCCGTACAGGCCAAGCTCTCAGTTAGCACTGAACGAATGAATGAATGAATGAATGCATATCAATTTCTTGCTTGTGGAGGAAGCTGAACTTAAATGAAATAGTAGTCAAGACCTTGAGATAAGTGTAATTCTCTGATTGATTCCTCCTCCAGAGGCTGGCATCTCCCTCCGCCACTGCCTGTCTTTTTCCTCATTGTGTTTCTTTCTAACTTGGCCTGAATGAGCCTTTGTCGCTAATGAGGCTTCAGTACATTCCTATGGTGAACTGGTTTCCTGGGGCCACATGTACATATAGCTCAAATGTGAAATTTGAAAGAAAAGAATTTCCTAAACATAAACATCACTTTTCAACTCTTAGATAAACCTCTTTTTCTGAATCTCTTTATAAACTGAAAGCTTCATTTAGAGAGGATTCCTTCACTTGCTTTAAGGAGTGCTTTGTAAGGGCATAAAGAAAAGGAAAAAAGAAATACTGAAGGAGAGATTACAATTTACTTTTTTTACAATTACATTAATTTACAATTAATGTTCAGCTTTGGTTCTTAGAGGAAGAATTTCAGTGATTAATACATTTTGACAAAATTGGCTTTCTCATATTTCAAGTAATTCTTTTCCCTCCTGGTTTTAGTAGAAATGAAGGAAAAATAGTACCAATGGATTTGCTGAAAAGTTATATATGGTATTTCAACACTGCTTTCGAGAAAGGCATGGCAGATATATTTTGTCCCTTAAAACACAGAGTAATGTGCAAACCTGTGGAAAAGGGAAAAATACCTACCAGGTGTGAGACATGAAGATTCACTTTAAAAATGAGTTACTGTTATTATCTTTCACATATGGGACACTATTTTATCCAGGGACTTTACAAAGAACACTTAACATTTTGCCCGAGTGGAAAGACCGCAGCCCATTTCAGAAGGAAGGAGCGCCGTTTCCATGTCAGACATAGGCCCGGACCGTCGCTTACCTCCCTCTCCGAATAGAAGAAGAGGTCCTCATGCAGTTCCCCATCAGTCAGAGCGATGATGACGCTGGCTGTCCTGTATCCTGCTCAAACAACACAGACCCACTCAGTTCATCCCGCTGCACCAAGGGAAACCCCCTCTCGGCCCTGGGAGTCTGTCTCTTCGCGGCTCCCCCACCCAAGGTCAGTACTGTGAGAATCAGCAACTTTTCTTTGGGGACTCGCAGTAGCTCTGGCATGAAGAAGAATGTGGGACAGACTCTAAGGGGGAATATGTTTTGTTTCTGGGTTTCCAAGTCTTATCTTAAAAAAAAGGCCAAACCTGGTGAAATGGTTGCTGGACTGATAGCTGGGAGTAGCTACAGTGAATCAAACATGACTATTTCCTAGGAACAGTCCACATGACTCTCGCCAAGGCCCGAGGGCAAACTCGACCACCTGAGCCTTTCAGGGGTCCTTCTCACATGCTGTCCTTGACCACATATGCAACATCTGTTGAAGAGTTTGGCAAAGAGTAACAGTCATCATGATTTATAAGCTGACTGGAAGTATTACTGGAAGTATTAGTTTTGCAGTTGGCAAAACCTACTAGAATTCTTTCAGTGATTTTGAAACTTCCAGTAACATTGATGATGGTGTCTTTATAATAACAAGCGTTGCTGTTGATATTGGGTCTGACCTACTTGTTGCAGTTTAGAGCGAAAGAGGATGTGGACACCTCCACAGGCCTGGGAGAAAAATCCCCACTCTAATACTGAACGTCTTTGAAGAGATTTGCTTCAGATAAAGAAATGCTACCCATGAAAGACAGGGTAGTAATAATAGCTAAAATTATAATAATAATAAATATTATTTCTCTGTGCTAAGCATGCTATTAAGTACATTTTATTCCTTTTTTTCCACTTAAATGAAGGAAAGTTTAAGCCAAACTGGTATCTTAATCTAAAATCATCACAGCAATGAAGAGGCTTGGAGCTCAGAGAAGGACAAGAAAATTAAATTTGACATAAAAATCTAAGACTTTACTAACCCCTCCAAGTATGTATTAACTTAATGAATTCAACATGCAAAACTGTTCATGAGCATTACAGACTGTAGCCCATAATGAGATCTTAATTACTTTTAAATAACTTTTTTTTTTTTGGAATCATCAGGACAGTAGAATTTGACCTCATTCGTGCCATCTTTCTACGCATTCCTTCTCTGTGATGAAGTCTGTGTTTAAGGATTAGAGGCAATATCCTGTGTCTTTTCAAACATGAAATTACTGAGGCACTTTTTCAGAAGGAAACACAGAAAAGTTAAAAAATTCATAATGGTAATTAGGAATATACTCTTACCTTGACTGTTTTCATAATAAATCTGCTCACTGGCCTGAAAAACATATGAAAGAGCCATTAGACATATAGCCACTGTTTGCTACTACAAATGCCATGGTGGGCAGTGATCTCTGGTGTTGGATCCACAGTGTTGGGTCAGTCTTGATTCTTTATGTAATTCACCCAGGTTTCACTCAAATATCAATGGATCATGTCCTCTGAAGTTACCCTGGATCAATATCTTTCCTCTCATAGACTGGGACTTGTTTTGCTGAAGCCTGAAGTCCTTGCAATTCTGTCTCAACCTCTGAAGAAATATATAGAAAAGGTTACCTTGGGAATAGAGAGGACTTGTGTGTGGCATGATTCATGAGTTCTGGCCAAGCATTAGCTAAGAGACCCTTCATCAGTGTCAGGGAAGGAGGAAGAAATTTCATTTATTTGGCTCTTTTGGATGGAGTTATCGTGTACACACTTATGGAAAATTGTTTTCACTCTTGCCATTGGGTGTTATTCAGTTCCTTTAATATGTGTGTCTCATCTCATCAGCCATCCCTGTGTTGATGTTTCCACATCACAATCTTCTTTTGGAGTTTAAAACTCTTTTAAAATTACCCTTTCAAATCCTTCATGCATGTAAGTGTCTCCTCCTGGCAGAACCTTCTGGAGTTCTTCTAGGCCTTGACGGATCTGTTCCCTGAAATCCAAAGACACCCTGTTAGTCTTATTAGAGCATTTTTTATTTTGCCGTTGATAGTCACATGCTTTAGTCTTCTTATCTTTGTGGATAGTCTATATTGCCCAAACAGTCCCCCAAGACCCTATAGCAGGAAAGTCTTTCTAGTAAATTATCCATTTAGGGTCGGCCACAGTGTAGAATAAGTGAGATTTCAAGGATCGAGGGAAAGGACACTTCAGGAATCTCCAGGTGCAGGTGAAAATTTTCCATTCCCTGAACAGGACAAAGTTTTCATTCTACGTTGGAAGCGAGTCTTAAGACTTGTCTTCTTAGGCAACTTTATATCAAGATGCAAAGGGCTCATGTGAGCCAGAAAAAGGTGGGTACTAAGAACCCAGGGCAAGGCCACCACAAGGACCGCAGGCAGGAAGGGCAGGCATCTGGAGCAAGCTGCCATTGGAAGAGCTGTGCCAGAGAAAACCATGTAGTCAGCTTTGAAAATAAAGACCCAGGCAATCTATGCTTTCTAGGACGACCAAGAGTGTTTTCTGTGGGCTGGTGCCCATGTTTTGTTACTTTGATTGCTCAAGGTGGTAGTGGGGCAGGAAGAGGAAGTGGGTTATGGTATTGGGAAAGGGTCCGATAGCAGTGGGAAACGTGAAGGTTCGGGGACCAATTAGAATCTTTGTGGACCATTCCCTCAGAGATGTAAAACGTCCACGTTCATGTTCCTGTCAATTAAATAGCTTCATACTGTGCTGAAAAGGGCAAGAAAGTGTAGTTTCTGAAAAAGAATATGAACTTCATTCATGAATGAGCCCATAAAGCATTTGAAATTACCCTCCTCACTCTGGGGTTTCTTTAGGGGCCGAGGGTGGAGATGCACAATTTAAATTAAGTGGGGACTACTATCAATTTTCTACATGTTATCTTCTAGGCCTACAGAGTTGTGAAATTGCATGGCAATAGAAAGTCAATAAAAGGTGCAACACCCTAGGGACTTCCCGGGTGGTCCAGTGGTAAAAGAATCCGCCTTCCAATGCAGGGGACGCAGGTTCGATCCCTGGTCAGGGAACTAAGATCCCACATGCCTCAAGGCAACTAATCTCTCGTGCCACAACTACTGAGCTCATGCACCTCAACTAGAGAGCCCACGTGCCACAACTAGAGAGAGAAAACCTGTACGCCACAACTAGAGAGAATTCCTCATGCCTCAGTGAAGATCCTGCATGCCACAACAAAGACCAGACACAGCGGGGTGCGGGGGAAGGGGGAAGCTGGGGCAAAGTGGGAGTAGCATCGACATATATACACTACCGAATGTAAAACAGTTAGCTAGTGGGAAGCAGCCGCATAGCACAGGGAGATCAGCTCAGTGCTTTTCGATGACTTACCGAGGTGGGATAGGGAGGGTGGAAGGGAGGTTCAAGAAGGAGGGGATATGCGTATTGTGTACGCATGTGGCTGGTTCCCTTTGTTGTACAACAGAAACTAAGCAGTATTGTGAAGCAATTATACTCCAATAAAGATCTATCACAAAATTAAAAAAAATAAATTAAGTGGGGAAACTTCTTTTGAGCAGGGAAAGAACCTCATGTTCACTGAGTATCCATTATATACAAGACCCTGCACAAAGATTTCTGATTTTATCCTCATGATAACCACTCAAGGTAGGTATTATTGCCCTCATATTATAGATAAGAAAACTTGGGTTCAGAGAGGTTAGTTAAGTAGGAGGGCAGAGGCTTGAGGTCAAATCTACCTGATTCAAAAAAAATCTGCCCGGCTTTCTACTTTGCCAAGCAGCATAAGACAGTGGGCAGTTTTCAGTAAAACTTGAATTAATGAACAGCAGTGGCAATGTTTAACACTACCTGAGTACTTATACCGTGTCAAGCTCTGTTTGAAAAATACATGTAATTAATTCACTTATGCCTTATGATAGCTCTTTGAGGTAGATACTAATATTATCTCTAGTTCACAGATAGGGACTCTGTGACTCAGCTGAGTCATAGAGAGAGAGGCTAAGAAAGTTGCCCAAAGCCCCTCCACTACTAGGTGGCAGAGGTGGGATTTCAACCCAGATGCCCTACTCTCAGTCATTATATTAGACTGTTTCTCTCTTGAATAAATGAATGAATGAATGTATAAAGTTTATTACTGGCTTATTCTGGTAATTGCTTAAAGAGGAAGTCCGAGGCAGAATTAATCTTTTGTTAAAACTGAGGTAATGGGGTGGTCATGGGTGAGACCTGATTGCCAGGTTGGAAGTTTTAAAAGACAAACTGAAAAGGGTTTAGCCTGAGCCTGTCCCTGGCCCAGGCTGCTGATGCTTCTTAGGTGGAATATTTAAGACCAAGTAACTCAGACTTTGGGAAATGTACTGATTATTGTCTGCTTGTCCTATCAGCGCCCAGATATCAGACCACGTGCCCAGCTGCCCTAATCAGAAACCAGAAGCCTTCTTTGACCCCCTCTACCTTGACTCTCCTCTCTCTTGCTCCCGTACGTAATATAACATTAGATTCCATCGGTCGCGCTCTAAACATACCTTGAAACTGACACTTCTTCACCTCTTCTGCCAACCTCATGGTCTGGGCGACCATTGTTTTTTACTTAGACCATTGGGAAAGTCACTGGCCGTCTTTTGACTGCCTTCTCAACCCCCCTGCATTCAATCTCCACATGGCTGCCACAGCGTTCTTAAAATATGGATCAAAACATGTCATTCACTCCCCTGCTCAAAATCCTTCACAGCCATTGATTACACTTGGGATAAAACCTCGTCCTGGGTTTCCCTGGTGGCGCAGTGGTTGAGAGTCCGCCTGCCGATGCAGGGGACACGGGTTTGTGCCCCGGTCCGGGAAGATCCTACATGCCGCGGAGCGGCTGGGCCCGTGCGCCATGGCCGCTGAGCCTGCGCGTCCGGAGCCTGTGCTCCGCAACGGGAGAGGCCACAACAGTGGGAGGCCCGCGAACCGCAAAACAAACAAACAAACAAACAAAACAAACAAAACAACCCCTCAGGTCCTCACCATGACCTTCAAGTGCCTTCATGGGATGGATCCTCTGCCTCCTCGACAGCCTTATCTTGCACCGCTCTGCTCCCACTGCCTTCACCTGAGTCCCACTGGTCTTCCTAAGCTCCTTTCTCCAGCAGATCCTTCACACCTGCAGTCACTGCTGCCTGGGGGCTGGGCTAATTCTTACCCAGCCTTCAATCCCAACCTAAATATCAATTGCTCAAAGTAGCCTCATCTGAGTTCCCCAATTCAAATTAGCTCCCTCAATTAGACTGCACATAGCACCCCACAATTGTTGCTTTATAGCACTTAGGACATTTTATAACTAATAATATTTGATTATGTGATTATCTGTTCACTTTAGTTTAGTTTGTTCATTTGTTTCCGTTCTAGACTTTAAACTCCATCAGGGCTGGGCCATGTCTGTTTTGGTCTCCACTATATCTTCTGTGTCTGCTATAGTACCTGGAACATTATAGACATTCAACAAATATTTGCTGAAGAGGTGGGAGGAGGAAATAAGCTTCACTGGCCATGTGGACGGTGGCCAGGCAGAGCTGACCTGGTAGTAATTGACTGTAGGGAAGGTCTGGGTCCATGTGGTTATAGACCATTCTCTGTGTTGTACCTCTTTACGTACCCCCTCCCCCCAATTTTAATAAATTCCATTAAAAGCCATAGTTTAATTTCAACTCTATCATTTGGTAATGAGAAAGAGCATACATCTATGCATTAGAAGGAGGGTTAAAGATGACAGCAGAGTCCCCAACTGAGGCCACCAAAGGGAGGGGGAGGGTGGCATTAGCAGTCACCTGGCAGAGGGCAACTTTGCCCTGCAGGTTGGCGGTTTCATGAGGATAACGGCAAACAAGGTGGCATGAGGGTGAGCCTGGGATATGAGAGTGAGGCTGGGACAGGAAAACTGAGGTTTATTCCTGAGCACACAGAGGTGTCACCCTGAAACCCTTCGGTATAGCTGAGGGGCATTATGGGGTTGGGGGCTAATTTCTGACAATTAGGGGGCATCAAAAGTAAATGTGGGCATCAAAAGTAAATGTGAACAAAAAAAGTAAATGTGGTCTTATCTTTGGTCATTTAAAAAGTCTATTTATTTATTTATTTGCCTGCCTTGGGTCTTAGTTGCGGCACGCGGGATCTTCATTGTGGCCCGTGGGCTCTAGAGTGCACGGGCTTAGTTGCCCTGCGGAATGTGGGATCTTAGTTCCTTGACCAGGGATTGAACCCGCATCCGCTGCATTGGAAGGCGGCTTCTTAACCGCTGGACCACCAAGGAAGTCCCTTATCTTTGACTAGATCATTGACTAGTGAGGTTTAGGACGTTTTGGTAACACTAAAATTGGAATATTGTGTTAAGACTAAACCTTTAAAAAAAAAAGAGGACTAAAAAAAGGCACAATGGGGCTATGGAAAAGGTTCCCTGGCTTCTCTGTATTTTTTCCCTGCCAAAAAAAGTCTGGGAACTGGGGTGTTTTCTCTAAGCCTATTTCCCTTCCTTTACAAGTATTTTCTTGAGCTTTCTATTTTTTGGTACCAGAACAAGCAAAGGCTGTTTTGGAAACTGTCCTTATCCTTGATACTTTGTGTCTGGCAAGATATGATGAGCTCACTAGTCCCAAGCAGTGGTCACACTCCCCTTATACCACCCTCCTTGGTAAAAGGTCAGATGACTTACGGCCCCACCTCCCTACTCCATGCCCCTTCTCTACGTTCCTACAACATCTAAGCAAACAAAACAGATGGTTTCATGGAAATTGTGGGTCCATTTTAATTCTAGGACAATAGGACTATTAATAAAGAGTATTTTTTTAATGCTCTCTTAGAAATGAAAGAAAATTGGGAGAAAGATCTTTTAAAGGGGGCGATAAGAAGCTCTCCTCTCTGAGGACTTGGTTACTACCAAATGAAATATTATCTTCCTGGGAAATGAGAGAGTCTGGGAGTCCTATGAAAACAGGCTGCTATTAAAGAGTCGCC